TGGTAAATTATTGAAAATAAAGTGCATTACTTCAGCTGATCTGAAATGAGGACCAGAATCAGACCAAAAGCAAAATTGTTGAAATTGTGACATAAAGGGTTTAGAAAGAAGTTGATTGATACAATCAATCACAAATAAGGAATCATGAGATAAAATTTTGGAAAAAAAATCAAAATATTGTGTTTGAATTATACCATTATTATCTTTGTAAAAAATGACAAATCCTAGAAGTGAAATATGTATTTTTTCATAAAAATTTCTACCAGTTTCAATAGGATCACCACCAATTTTAAAATTTTCTTTAAAATCCATAACTATTACACAAGAAGTTGTTGTTATAGAGTTAATAGAATTTTGATAAAGTTGATGTTGATTTGTTTTAAAATAAAAGAGTTGATGATAAAGATTAATTTGATCTTGTAATTGGGTAATAAAATGAGTATTAAGGGAATTGGTTTGTTGTAATTTTTTTTCTACCTTTTTTCCTTCAACACATATTGGACACATGTCTGTCTTTTTTTGTGTTTTTTTGAAGTTTTTTGGACAATATTTGTAAAATGTACCAAGACTTAATTTTAAAGTTGGGTTTTGAGTTTTTAATTCAGAATAAATGTGTTTTTTTGTTTTTTCCAAATAATAAATGGAGGTAGGATTAAAAGAGGTGGTAATATTTTCAAGAGAATAAGGAAGTTTTAAATTTTGACATGTGGCAGTAGATAAATGAGAATTTTGTATAAGAGAATTAAGAATAAATTCAATAGTTTGTTTATTGATTGTAAATTTGGAAGAAGGAATTTGTCTTTGATAATTTGATAAAAAAAAAGATTGGTCATTGACTTTTTTTAAAGAAGTATTAAATTGTGTATTGCTAAAGTGAAAACCAAGATTTGTTAATTCAGATCTACTATATAAACCAGCTACTAAAGATAAAAGGCTGGATTTATATTTTGTAGGAGAATTTGTGTGCATAATTTTGAGATTATTAAGGATTTGTTTGGTTGTTTTTGCATGTTTTGAATCTGAAAAAAATGTTTTTTCAATATTAGATTTGTTAAAGAAATAATCATATAATTGAGTTGGATTATTTCCTGATAAATGAGTAGCCACATCATGTAAAATTGAAGTAGCAAGACTTTTTTGAGAAGCAGAATAAGAATTCAAGGGTAAAGAATAAGGGTGAGAACGAAGTAATGTAGAAATTTTCTTTCTTAAGTTTAAAGAAGGCATGATGTAATAAAAAAAATATAAAATTTTCAAATTAAAGAAAATAATGATAAAAAGTTGTATTAAATAATTAGTTTCGCGCAAATTCGCGAAACGATTTGATCGTCGGTCACGTGATCCGACAATACAAAACTTTGCGATACGATAGGTACATGCACAACATAATAGACATCATGACATTAAGCTATTAAACTACAATTCCATCAAACAGTTAAAATATTAAACTATTGTAGTCTACGCACGATTATAATGCGAGACTAATTTTATAATACTTTTATATGCAAGTAATAAAGTAGGCATGTACGTAGCACGATATAATTAGAAATAAATTTGTACCCGAAAGTCCCGGGCCTTAACCCCTTACCCCAAAAAAATTCTACTAGCATTTTTGTCGCCTTCAAAAAGAATTACCCATATATGCAGCACACAAACTACCATTTAATAATATATTTCCACTATGCAGGTCCCGATGAATAAGGTTTTGCGAGTGAATATAATTAAGATTAGAGGCAATGTAAAGTAAAAGAATCACCCTATCTTCCCATTTAAGTTGAGAAACGGAACTTAGACTGCCACGCAAGGAGCCCTCTGATGCATGTTCCATAATAAGGATATAACTTCCAGATGCAGGGTCTTTCGAAATGCCAAAACATTGTATGAAAGGGGAGCCTTGAGACTGATATCGCAATGTGCTTTTAACTTTGAAAACGTTCATATTAATAAATTTTTATATAAAAATAAATAAATGTAAGAATAGATGCTACCTCCTTTATAAATTCTTTATTATTATCACTTAACCCATTAAGTATCTTGTTTGCGACTTGTATTTTAATATTCCGCTTCCTATTAATCCAGAATGCACTAAATACTGTTGCGAATCCACCTCCTTGATATCATCAAGGTCATCATAAGGAATCGATAATGATGGATATTTATTTTCAGCAGTAGTTCTTTTAAACTGTCGCAAATATCATTATTCTCGCATATCCATTCGTTCGTTACTAAATAATATGTAAAATACTTTAGTAAATTGACATAATTTAAATCATTTATATGAAAGTTACCTGAAAATGAGTTTACGCATCTAATTTATTATTTAAGAATGTTATTTTTGGCGAAGTCATTAAGAACAAAAAATAAACTAAAAAAACTGTTTACTTAGTAAACCAATAGCCCTCAGCTTCACCCATATCAGCAGATTTTGGTAATATTCGAATGCCTTATGTTCCTTTTCAACTCCAATTCCATTATCGTAGAAGTATCCGACATTATACATCCCACTATCTCAGCAGATTTTTATAATATTCGAATGCCTTATATTTCTCCTTTATCAAGTTTTATTTGATAAGTCGCTTGTATAATATTCATATAATTTCTACTTAATTCAAATAAAAAGCAAGGCTAAGCTAAGCTAGTGTTAAAAAAAAAAAAAAAAATTTTTTGTCTCCTAAATCTGACTTAGATATTTAGCTTAGACTTTATTTTGTTTAGTTCACACTAGCTTAGTACATCGTATTTTTTAAATAGTATAGTTCTTTGACTAATAATATACTGTATAATAACAAATTAGTTGTCATATGAAAGTCAAAGTAATATTGTAGGTATTTATTTGTGTCTCAATAAAGACATGTGACGACGCTTTATTTCTTTATGCTTTATTTCTTTTTTTGTACGTTTTATTTCTTTGATTTATTTTTCAGTCATATACTTCATCCTACTGTAAGTCGCAGATTCTGCTTTATTTTCGGGATTTTGATTTCCGATTTATTGTTTCCAAAGATGGTATCCCCCCTACTCCAAACTAGTTTTTTTGATCGACTCTATAGTATCTACATATGGAATCGTAAACCGGTTTCGCGAAATGATAATATTTTTTCCGTTAAGGTTATTTAAATCAATCATCTAATTCACCGTACAATTAACATCCATAAACTCATCGAAGATGTCAAACCTCGACCTACTTAACGCTGCATTCACAGCCTTATTACCAGGTCATGAATTTGTTTCAGAGAATAAACTTCATGAGACACCCAATGACGCTATTTATCAAAAGGTTGACATATTTTCGCTTCACCAATGCAGTCTTTTGGGGGATAATCTAGGAGCTTATACCATTAAAAATACTTTCGATGGTACTTCTAAAAATACATATCAACTTTTTGTCAAGACGCTTACTGGCAGGACTATAACCATAGAAGTCCAATCAGACCTTACCATTTATCTGGTAAAGCAAGCGATTCAATTAAAAGAAGGTATCCCACCAGATCAACAGCATTTGATTTTTGCTGGCATAAAGTTAGAAAATGATAGAACACTCTCAGATTACAAAATTTCAAAAGAAGCCGTTTTGCATCTTATTTTGCTTATTCGCGGTGGTGGACTTATAATTAGTCATCTGGGTAGCGACGTCTTGGACCCAAGTTATGATTATGATTTTACAAGTATCGATGATAAAGGAAAGCAATATTTTCGTGGAGGTGTTTTGTATCAAAGGCCATGTGGCTGGAAACGCATCGCCTTAAAGGTTATCGGAAAGTATGACAATCGGGATGACAAGTGGCTCAGCACTAATCAAGATTCTTGGCCAGTATCATACCATGGTACTGCAAAACACAATATGAGGTCAATTGCGACGGACGGTTACTTGTTAAGCAAAGGAAAACGTTTTGCTTATGGTCGTGGCATTTATTCTACACCTGATATAAATGTAGCTGAAAAGTATGCAACAGAGTTTGAACATAAGGGGGAGAAATATATTGTAGTACTTCAGAACCGAGTAAACCCCGCAAACTTAATAAAGATCGGGAAGCAACAAACTGGTTTAGGTGAGTATTGGGTTTCTAAAAAGGAAAAGGATGTCAGACCATATGGAATTTGCATTAGAAAAAAATGATTATTTTTTACATCACATAGTTTTGTTTTTCCATTTTTTTAACTATGTAAAGTCACCATAGATGTAACACCCGATAATTCTTATTCTTAAAATAAGGATTGAATATATAAAGTCGTAATTATATTTTATTTTTTAGTTACAGTGCGATTTACTGTATATCAATTTAAAAACAAAGAATATACGGTAACTTATTGCGCAATTTTTAGTTGAGACCTTCATCGATCCCATCAAATTTTTTATAATTTCTTGTGGAATTTTGCCCATTCTTCCTTCATATACCATTTCAATTGATTAATATTTTCTGAATTTTCATGTTTTTCTTAACAATTGTTTATGGGTTTTCTATAGAGGATTTTGGATTGCCAATTCACAATATACTTTTTTTTTTTTAACTGGCACAGCCTTGCCTTATTATTGGTTTGAATTACATTTATACGTGATAGCTATTTAGTACAGGAATATATATTCGATAATAATAAAGCTCAATAAGTTGTGAACTACCTCGTGACCTGTTGCCCTTTCTTCTAGAGAAAGAAAGCTAATATGCCAAGGCCATGCTAGCTGTTGGATGAATTAATAGTAGTGTGAAGATGTTAGTGTTGTATTTAACATACTCGTTTATATAACTATTTACAATTTTGATCATGCTTGTAGAGGATTGTGGTTCTATTGGGCAGATTGGGCACTCTTTTTTGTCTTGTTTTCTACTTGAGAACTATCTGTGTGATTTTTTTTGTCTTGTTTGTGATTTGGTAGCTAGTTTGTACATGGGAATTTTCACAGCATGTCTTCTATATGTCATATAGTAGCTCTTTTCTTTCTCTCATTGTGTTGATAACTAATTGGATAATTTTTTTGTTGCTTATTATTATTATGTTTAATGCTCTATTTATGTTTACTGCTGATTTAGATTTATTGATAAGTTACATGATTGCTTATTTATATTTATCAGTTATTCTATTTTTAGATTGTGAATAAACCTTTTTGAAATTGTTGTTTATGTTTTTAATTGAGTAATATAGAAAAACCTTGTTGTGTTATTTTGATATATTTACTTATTTATATTGAAAATCCTATCCAAATTTTGCAAGTTGTTATTATATTTGTATAGAATATCGATCAACTTGTTTAGATCACAAGTTATACATATATATGTATATTTTGTTTGTTACTTTTATGTAATATTTATTTTGCTTGTTCACCTTTATATGATTGTGTTTGCATAACAAGATGAATGATAAATATATTTTTGTATAATGTTAAAAGTCAAAGAAGTTAGATCAAATTCAGAATTTTTGCTGTGATCACATAACTGATAATCATGATATGACTGAAACTTACGCAAAACAATTAATTGCTGGCTATTGCTATACTTCTCACAAGATAAAAAAATAAGTGAACAATTCATTTATATCAAAAAAGTAAAAAACTATAAGCTGAAGTAATAAAAAATTAACTAACCACAAAGTAATTTATATATAACATGATATTAGAATAGTCATAATAATTATATAATAATCTTATATATAAAAATATATAAATGTGACTTTTTTCAATAACTTAATAAAATAATAAAGCTTAAAACAAATCTTTTGAATAGATTGTTATAACAGTGAAATTATAAGTAGTTTTATGAAAAACTATTTTGAGATTTGCTCAAATCTTTTTATACTTTTGCCTTATATTGTTTTGGATGATTGTGATAAAAAGATAGACTCTTCTATTCATAGAGCTTTTAATTATTAGTGACAGACTTGCTGATTAGCCTACTACAACGTGTATATATGGTTAGACTATCTTATTCTTAGAGAGCTTTGATATCTTTCTGAACTTTTAAGTGACTGAAGTAACTTAATTTATTAAGTAAACTTAGTTGCTTCCTAAATTTCTTGTAGTGTCAAAAAAGGTGTTAACCTATACTGATCTAGCTATAAGCTATATAAAGTTAATATTTTTTTTTCTAAAAATTCAAAAAAAAAAAAAGTAAAAAAAATTAGTAAAACAATGTATATATCTTTCCTTGGTATTTCTAAAAGATTTGTTATATCTGTATTGCAAAAACTTGATAGCTTGGTTTGAAAAATATATTGTTTTTCCTTGTATGTTTGATTAGGTTTACTTTTTTCAAAAAATTTATCAAAAAAAGAAATTTTTAAGAAAAAAAAAGATTAATAAAAAGAGTTTTTTTTTAATCCTTAATTATATAACTAAAAATTATAAAATTCATATATAGTATATTATATTCTAATATTAATTTTTTATTGTTTTTTTTTTCAAAAAAATTTTTTATATAATTTTTAAAGTTTTAATATTGGTAAAATTTTTTTCTTTATTAAATTTTTACTTTTAAAGAATTTAATTGACTGTTATCATAAATTATATAATAATTAATAAAAAAATAAAGATATTTAATAATAATAAAACTTTATATATAAAAAAAAAAACTCTTTCTGCTGATCCATATTTTTTCAAAAAAAAAATTTTTTTTTAATAATTTTCTTAAAAACTCATAAAAACTCTTTTATACAAGAACAATCTCAGAGGACATAATAATATACTTCTAAGTAACAAAATCTACTTTGCAACAATAGAAAAAGAGTTTCATTCAACTTGAAAGACAAATATCACTAGATCATTTTTACTTTTAGGAAGAAGAAAAAGCAAAAACAAGCTGATTTACAATAGGCTTCTTGAGACCCAACTTCAACTTTACAAAGCTCTTGACCAGACCAGTACAGGTTAATACCTTTTTAGATACTAAAAGAAGTCTCAGAAGCAATAGATTATATTGATAAATCAATATAACCTTAAAGCTAACTAAAACTCAGGAGAATGTCCAAGTCTCTTTGATCAAATAACTAAAAGATCACAACAATACAACAACTTCATATCAACTAACTCATATTACACGAACATAATAACTTTCTATCTAATTGACATGTATTAAAACAAACTGATTAATCTATAACAAAACAGTAAAATATAATAGATTAACAAACTAGAACATATGTAATTAACTAACACGTATTATCTAAAGCAAGATCAACAGTTGATTATAGTCTGTTACATATTAATAAACAAATATCAGATATGTAAACATATAGAAATTATGTGTTATAGACTTCTTAATATCAATATAGCAACTTATTGTCATATATATCAAACAAAAAAATAATATATAACAGTATTTATCTAATCATATAGTTAAAAAGACACTCATACAATAATAACATATATTAAATTTTTTGTATATCACATGATAACATGTTAACATGTTAATAAAAGAATAAACAATAATCAGGATCCTAGAGAGAAGAGAAAAGAAGCTATTAAAAATATTGGGAAAGATAGCTTCTATTATGATCCTTAGCAAGTACTCTGAAAAATAAGGATAATATAATATGAATTGAGACTAATAGCAACTAATCAATCCCACATTCCTACTGAGTCAATACATATTTCCTCGATACTGAATAATATTATTGGCAATCTATTGAGGATAGATCCATTGGTGATAACAAAAAAACATATGCTATAGCAATATATCCTCATTCTTTAGAAAAAGATGCAAGGTAAAAAGGAAGATTTAGAAGCACATATATTAAAAAAAAAGTATATAATATGTTGACAAGCAAGCCAGTAATACAGATATCAAGCTCTAATCAAATTGAAGTTTTTATAATAGAAAGCATTTTAATGAAAGTTCATTCAATTTTTATAAAACTTGAAGAAATGTCCCCATTAAGAAAGTCATAATAGAGAATAGAGAAGTGATGAACAAATAGAAATAGAAGTGTTAAAAGAAATAGTGCAGGAAAGCTATATTACAAACAACATGTCTTATAATACAAGAAATAGAATTCAAGAAACAACAGTAAATCCATTCTTTATAAAACAATAGGGATCAATCAAGGTAAGGGTACTCCAAGTCATATTGCCAGGAGAAAATAAAGAAGAGTGAATTATGTATTTCAAAGGAGTTCTAAAAATACCTAAGTGAATAAATTCCTTCAAAACAGAATTTACTAATGGTAACCATTGGATTACATTTGGCTTTGATAAAAAAGAAGATATAGTAAGATGTCTGGTAGCTGTCAACAAAAAAGAAGCTGAGAACTTTACACTTAGAAGAATAAACAAAGATATGAGCACATGATCAACCTTTCAAAGATATGCTCAAAATAAAAAGTTCTTCAAGCCAGAAAGCTTTTCATCAGCTAAAAATAGATCAAAATATATTACATTGATAGATACAAATCACAAGCTTGGCAAATGTATAATTAGACCAATGGAATAATTTGGAGAAATTATTAATATCGATGAATATAGAACATTTTTTCATCAAAAATAATTCAAAGTTCACCTTTATGCTTACTGGGAATATATCAACTTGAACAAGGAATGGATAATCAAGATAAAATCTAATCAAGTATGAACTGTGATAGCCTACAAGGAACAAGATGATCAAGAAATTACTCAAATTCTAAAAGAGAGAAAGAAATACTCTTTAAGACTTTATGGAGTTGATGAATTATATACAGAATCTATAAAAAAAGCCTTAAACTATATGAAGGCCAAAGCCTTTTATATATCAAAAAACAAGATTACCTTAGTATCAGAAAACTATGCAGTAGTATACTTTGAAAATAAAAAAGATCTAAGAGAGACACTCCAGCATCAAATAAAGATTAACAATCAAGGGTTAGAATGAAGTGCAAAGAATCATTATCATCATAAAATATTAGCTGATCTGGCTAAGTCAGGCAATACATATATAATGAATAAAGAAGCAAGGGAAAAAGATTGTAAAAGCCAATATAGAGTAAGTGGAGATAAAGAAAGTAATGAAGATATTATGGCAACTGGAAAAGAAGCTATACTGGCAGTAAGACTCAAAAGAAACAATAGTCAGTCAGAAAATAGAAGAAGCACAATAAGATCTATACCACCAATAACTGGTAGCAATAGGGAGCCACTAGAGAGGCAGAGACATCAGGAAG